AAAATTAGATTCTAAGATACTAGATACTATTCTCTCAATAAGTTGAGTTTTAAAAAAAAAAAAAAAAAAAAAAAAAAACCACAAAGCCAGACATAGAAATACAATCTGAACCATATTTATCCAAATATCTTCAATGATCATCTTCAGCTGGTGGGGTTATGAGTTATTTTAATTACCTTTATAAAATTTTATTGCCTCAGTATTTAAAATCAAACGTTTCTTTTACATAAAAACCTGTTTGAACCAAAAATAGTTTATTCAAGTAGTGAAATATTGGAAAAAGTTCCTCTTGTACAGATATTTTCTCCTTAATTCATCTTCAACATGACAATGAGTAGACAGATGTTATGACTTACTTTTGTTATTGAATTTTCAAAATAACAGGGTTACTGTCCTAAGGGCTCAGAGGTCAGATTAACCTGTGGCTTGTCTCCTGCAGAGACTCAGGCTGTATTCTGGAGGATAATAAAACTGAGCTAAAGACTTGCTAATACAATATTCCATCCTAAGTGTCCTTACTGGTCTCCTGACAGCTAATGTAGCATGTCTCAAGTCATGGTAGAAAACTTTCAATGTGGAGAGCAGCAGTAAAAGAACTGGGTCATCTGAAGGCTCACAATCTTTTGCCTGTAAGTATATCTAACTGCTGTCAATCAGCGAGTAGGTCATGGCAGGGGCTCTGGATTTTGACTGGTCAGGGTGTAACTGTCAAACTCTTTTGGTGCTGCTACCAGATAATCCTCTGAAAACTACTTTCCCTCTCCAAGTCAGTATTTTCTCATGTATTTCTGGGAGTGTTTAACAGCATTAACAAGCTAGCTACTACAGTGCCTGACACAGAGTACATCTTTTAACACATTAGTGATTAATTAACATACACACACATAGACTATTCATCTGGTGATCAGGTACTCCATAGCTGAAGCACAAGGGCTTTCATATTTAATGGCTCATTGGTATGGGCTGAATTGCGTTCCTCAGAAAAATTTATTTTTGAAGTTCTAACCCCCAATACCTGAGAATATGGACCTTATATTTATTATTAGTAGTAGTAGTATTAGTAGTAGTATTAGTATTTTGTTTGTTTTTTGAGATAGGATCTCACTATATAACTCAAATTGAGTATTGGCCTTCAACCCATTATGTAACCTAGACTGGCCTCGAACTGGCAGCTATCCTCCTGCCTCAGCCTCTCAAGCACTGAGATAACAGGTGGGCACCACCACACCTGGATGGGACCTTATTTAGAAATAAGATCACAGCTAAGTGAGGATAAAGCTACACCAGAGCAGTGTAGACTACTAATTCTATATAGCTGGTGTCCTTATGAGACTTGGATACAGAGACACACTGAGGCAGAATACCATGTAGGGAAGGCAGAGATGGGGCAATGCTCCCACAAAGAAGACTAAGACTGCCAGAAAAGCCTCAGAAGCTGGGAGAGAGGCATGGAGGAGACTGGCTCAGAGCAGACCAACCTCGACGCATGCTCACAATTTACTATCAGATTTCCAGCTTCTATAACCTGTAAGATGAGAAGTTTTTGTTGTCTAAGCCACTCGTATGTTGCCACGCCTGCCCTAGGAAACTGAGCAATGGATGGTATCATCATCAAACTTTCCATGCTCAGCTCTTTACACGAACCTTCATTCATTCTGTTAGATTTGGTGGAGAGGGCAATTCCACCATCTGGTCTTATTTCCCATAATCTTTACAGGGAAACTCTGTTTGTGGCTCACAGGAAATAAAGAACTGGAAAAAGAGAACTGAGCTACCTATAACCTGAAAGTCCTTGAACAAACACCCTTCTACTGAACAGCACTACAGTGAAGGCGGAATAATAACCCACTCTTCAAGGGGTTCATAAACCTGAGCTACCAGCATGTGCTTACTTCTGTAAGAGCAGCTTCTTACACGCTCCAGACTTTACAGATTATATCATGTATAAGGACAAGGAGCTTTCCATGATCTTAGGTGAAATTTTCTCCCAGACTGTGTCTTGGTTAAAAGCAGCCAGTGTCTTTGGCTTTGCCTTTGAATATTAAAGTAATCAGAGCATTTGCCTCAGTTATGTGAGCACAGGGGTGCAGTCAGCTCCTGCCCTTGGGGAGAGGACAAGAGAGAATCTTTTTTTGGTTTTAAAGACTGCCTCTCCCTGCAGCATTCAAAACTCAGTCGTGCAGAGAACTACTCTTTTACAGCACTCAAAGCCTTTCAGGAGGGATTAGGAGTGAGGAAGTTGGTAGATCGATCCAGGGGACTTGGCAAAGCTTGCTGTCAGGAAAGTTCACTGAAAAACTCAGTGAGCTCATTCTTACGAAGGAGGTAGGAATGTTTTGGAGTTCAGCATTCAAAGGAGCTGGTCAACTGTGGCTCAGTTGTGTCCTGCAACTGAATCCTTGGCACCAAAGTCCACAACACGATATTGTCTGCGGGTTTAATGTTAGGAAAACAGGCCACCCTTCCTTTGGTGAAATGTATTCATTCATGTACTGTGATCCAGATGCCTCTGCTTAAATGACTCAGCTCTGCCAATGTAGCTTCAAAGCAACCATACGGTGGATTAGCAGCTCCCCTTGCTCCAGTGTAGCTTTAGCCTCACCTCACTATGGTCTTATTTCCAAATAAATAAATTTTCCTGAGGGACACAATTCAACCCATACCAATGACCATTAAGTATTAAGATACTGTTTTTCAGCTATGAAGTTAGCTGAATGACCATTAAGTATTAAGATCCTGTTTTTCAGCTATGAAGCATTTACCAGATAAATACTCTATGTATGTATGTTAGACAACCACTAATGTGTTGAAAGGTTTACTATGGATAGGGCATATGATCATTACGTGTATCTAAAATGTACCCATAAACTTAATTTTAAGAACAGTTTTTACAAATACAGGGGGCTGACCCACAGGTCTTAGTTTGTCAGTCCTGATATAGAATCTAGAACTACCTTCCAATTTACAAGAAATACAGGAGAAAAAAGAATACAGCATGTTAGATGCCACCAAGGGGATGCACTCCTATTGCCTATTGGGAAACTATTCAACATAGATTATTTTTATTTATTTAGTTATTTATTTTGTTTTTTGGGGGGCAGGGCTTTTGCTATTCCGTTCATGCTGGCCTTGAACTCACTTTGTAGCACAGGCTGGCCTTGGACTCACAGGGATCCTCCTGCCTCAGCATCCTAAGTGCTGGGATTACAGGTGTGCATCACCACACCCAACCCAGGATAGATTACCTTGTGTCTTTAAAAAATATAAGGAAATCAAAACTTGGAAAGGAAAATCATATTTTTATGAGCCATAAAAGTCCTATCAAGATATCAACGTGTTTAAGCTTTATTTAAATACCAATGCCAACAAATTTTTAAAAAATAATATGACAATCACAGAAATGGATGGTAACATTAAATCAGTGTTCTTTTAGGTGTGGTAATTGTGACTTGTAGTTATATTTTCAAGACTTCGTGTCTTTAGAGATTTATACTGAAACACAGATGGAATGATAAGATGTTTGCCTTTTGCTTCAAAGTGATCTGGGTGTGGAACTGTATAAAAAGTAAGAATGGCCAGGAGTTGACTATTATTGCGGTTGGGTAATGGTTGTACAGGGGTGCACTGTACTGTCCTCTTTACTTTTGCATTTGTATGAAGCTTTCCATAATTAAACTTTTAAAAAGCATACCAAATATGTCCCAGATTCACTGGCAGAGATGGAAAACATTGGAGTAGACAAAGAAAAACAGATTCTGTTTGCTGAGGAAAGATTTTTTTTTTGAGAGTCTTTATGAGGTAGGAGATTTGGACAAGACAGGCTGGATGGAAGATAGGATGTAACTTGTCAATTAAAAAGATCCAGACCACGGCTGCGAACAGGATGTACCCATGTAACCTGATCTGGAAGGGACGCGACCTGTCAACTACCACCAGGGTGCATGGGCAGAGCAACTTCTGATGGACCTTCCATGTAGGATTGGGTATAAAGAAGCACATAAAAGGTGGTGGCTATTGACTTCACAGCCACTGCAATCTTGCTCTCCTGTGCTCCTTTTCTTGCTCTTGTTCTTGCTTTTGGCAAATATCTCTTCTTGCTCTTCTCATTTCCTTCACTGTTTTATATTCTTCCTTTCTTCCCTTTTCTTCACCTCTTCCCTTTTCTTCTTTTACATTAAATAACAGTTATGTTGAACTGTTCCTTAGTTGTCCCAGCCAATTCTTTGGGTGGGACCAAAAGAACCTGGAATCTTCTGACACCACACTGCCTGGCAACACTTTGGGACAATTAAAAAGGTTGTGCAGATGGGAATTAATCTGTTTATTCCTTAACCAGAGAAACAAAAACAAGTTCTAGCAAATCAAAGCCACTCCAGTGCTCTAGTAACTACATCATCTTCCCAACCCACTTGTAATGATTGAACTTCAAGTGTGTCAGGGCTTGGGGGAGAGAGTCCAGAGTGCTGCTCTTGCTCATGCAATGCTGATACTCCTCTTCTTCCTTGTAGCAGAGTCTTGACTTCTTCAGAGGTTGCAGTGCTCATTCAAAAATATTCAGGCCTTCAGACTCGCTCGTAGCTAAGGTTAGCCACGTAATCTAGTTCTGTCCACTACATTAGGAGTGCAAGTCCAGAAAATATATGAGTTCCGGAATTAAAATAGACAGACCCATCCTGTGTATCCACTCCCACTTACTACTATCTGGGTGTAATTGTAGTGCCTGAATTAGTACTGGCCACCTTATGGCAACAGGACAAAGGAGCACAGCATGACAAAAGTTGGGGATGGAAAGCAAGAGACCAAGAGAGAACGAACTTGGAATATCGTAGAGGCCATAGGCCTGGACTGCCTACCTAGACTTCCTTTCAGAACATGCAGAGAAAAACGAACTACACAGTTAATCTACTGCAACTAGGCTTTTCTTACAGATAGATGGACAAACACAGTGAGTCATTAATATCCAAAATTAACCTCCTGATCCCAAATCTACCTTCTCACCATCTTTCAGCACTCAATGGATGGTAAGATGCATTTTTAATCACTCACCAAAAAATTTCAATTTCTCTTTTTTCTTCTTGCTCTGTTCTCAGTCCATCAGCCAAGACCGCTGGGTCCTACTTGGGAAGCACACCAGAACTGGAGCGGGAATTATATATTCATATCCAGAGTTGGAGGTTTTCCAAGTAGCTCTGTGGCAGTCACCTAGTCAGGTCACTACCAGCTCTGATGTGGTTTATTCTGGTAACTTCTGGCTTCAACTTCGGCCCACTATAGTCTATTTACCATCAATCTGAGCTTTCCTCTTAAAAAATCAGTCAGTCATATCAATTCTCTGTATGCATTCCTGTTTCTTTATCTCAAGCTAAATGAGATCTACAATCTTAGGTTCTTAAATTGACCTCACCTCCAACTGATCCTACCACTCACTCTGACCTTCTTTTTTTCTTTTGGTTTTTCTCCGGGACCGGGAACGGAACTCACAACCTTGCGCTTGCCAGGCAGGCGATTTGCCGCTGAGCTAAATCCCCAGCCCCCACTCTGACCTTCTTAATCTTCCAGGAAGCTATCAAGCGGGCTTCTGTTTCAGGTTATCCTTCTAGCTCCTTGCCCCTGACCTCCACTTCTTACAGATTCCCCTTGGCCTCATTCTCTCACTTCCTTCAGGCGTTTTTTCAAACGTTATTTCCCAGAGACACCATCCACACCATCCATTTGCTTGTTTATACTCAAATCCATTCCCCATCCTTTTTGGTCATTTTCTACATCTCCTTGTGTCCTGGACCTTGGTGTGTTCAGCCCATGGAAGGCAGAGACAGAAGACAAAGCAGGAAGGAAGGAGGACCCAAGGCATGCATCCTCTTTAAGGATCTGTATCTCTATACCTGTATCTCTTATAAGTCCCATGTTGCCTCCAAGATTCCAGCTCGCACCAGACAGACCTACCTACCATCTGCGGTCCCAGCTTAGCTGGACACAACCAGCATGGCCAACAGCATCTACAAAATGCCACAGAACCTAGACTCTACCACCTCCTTATTTCTGTCTCCCTGTTGCTAATGTCTTGTTTTCCCTGCGTGACTTTTAGCTTTGTAATCACCTGTACTTTCAATTTTGTGTCCTAAGTCCTTTCTGTTGAAACCATTGTATCCCGACAGTCTAATCAAAACTCCTTCCCTAAAGACCCTGAACAAAACAGAATTCTACTCACCTCCTTCTTATGTATCCTGCCTTATTTCCCTTTGTGGTTCTCAGCAACACTGGAAAGAGTACTCGTCTATTTGTCTCCTTAATTACAGAATCCTCCCCTAGAATATAAGCTATTTTGGTCTCTGCTAGGCCCCAGTCTGTAGGACAGAGCCAGTGATAAAGGCCCACACGATATTCTTTCATCCACTTAAAGAGCTGATGACGAGCATCATATGTTTCAGGCAGTACACAGTGAGGAAGAATGGTGAACAGGATAAGCTTCTCTGTTCAGCTGATTGTTGAGGGGACCATGTGGGGATGGCAGTGAGGACAGGTCCCTCTTATTCTTTGATGCATTTAACTACCCTGCTTTTGATTTGTGGTGTTTCCAAGCTAAACAGAAAATCACTCATATTCACCTGTAAGCTCACTGACGAGGGAGTATCCACTCTACTGTTTAACAGGAGGCAGAGTCCTTGATGGGAAAGCATCACTCACCTGATGTGAAGTGGGATCTTGGGCACCTTCTTAGAGACTTTGAACAGGCCTTGGTCCCCATAGACTTCAGTGAAGTACACTCCAGCGACACTTGTCACCAGATTCCCAGGGAAACTGGACAGCACCTTGTCACAGCCATGCTTGCTGGCCCAATACCAGGCCTGGCCCCCGATGAGCAAGCCCCCACCATGTTTCACAAACTGAATGAGCTTTGCAGTCAAGCTGTCATTGTAGGCATCCATACAGTAAGCACCCCGGGGCTCTCCAGGTTCTGGCACAGTCTGTGCCTCCACCCCGGCATCCTTCAGGATGTTCACTAGGGGTTCCAGGGATGGGTGCACCCCAATGGGAGCCTCAGGGGAGAGATGGAGCCAGCCCACTGCATTGACAAGAAATGGAGCCAAGCCAGCATGCAACAAGTAGCCTTCGTGGGATACGACAACAAGGCGGCCCTGGCCATAGGAGGAGGCAGCAATGAGCACCTGGCCCTTGCCATTCACCATCACGGGGAAGGAGGCCTCCCCAGTAAGAAGGAGTTCACTGGGGATAGGGCCTTTGGGAAGATCCCAGCTTGTCACTCCATTCATGAGGGCCTGGAACGCATCGGAGGGAGTTGTCGCCATGGTTCTATCTGCGGCTGCAGAGGAAAGCAAAGATTTGGGTTGGTCAGAACAGATGGTTGGTCAGAACGAGTGGCTTCTGCAGAACAGAACTGCAGTTTTCTCCTCAGAGCATTCTTCTTGGATAAATTACTTAGGCCTCAGATTTCCTATGTATAAAAGAGTAATACTTCTCCTGCAGATGGTCAGAACAGAACAATGAAAAAAAAAATCCCAGACTATTAAATGCATTCATCCCCCAAACGTTGTGGGTTCTCCATTGGGTACTAAGCACTGTGGTAGCACTGGTGATAAAGTCGGGAACAAAACAGACAAGGCCTCCTCTTTTAAGACTCAAATATTTGAGAAGGGGAAAGACAATGCATGAATAGGTTGATGCACAGATCAGTAGAATACAGTAATTGATAACTGTTAGGATAAAAATAAACATGGCAATAAGATATGGTGTGGCTGGAGGAATACTTCAATTTAGACTGGGTGACAGGAAAGGCCTCTGTGTAAGAAAGTGACTCTGAAGTTGAAACCAGAGAGCTGCAGAGAGGAGGATTCAGAAAGAGAAACACCAGGGTGGCCGTGAGCCCGGGCAGGAGGAACAGGACCTGAGGTGAGTGGGAGGGGCTGGATCCTGCACAGCCTGGTAAGTCAAGGTGGGTAAGCGGATGTGCATGAATTGAATGAGTGTTTCAGATATCCGGACATACAGGTCACAGGACCTGCCAGGAACTAACTGCATTTGTGCTGACCGCTTCGACTACACGATTTAGAAATGCCTGCCAACTGATTGTATCCGCCTTAATGTGGAGGTCCCCCTTCTCTCTGGCTGGCCTTCTGTGGTTTCCGGAGGTGTTTTAAAATCAGTTTACATAAAACTAAATCACTGGCGTTCGCTCTCTTCAGAGCGTGCATTTTGGATAAATTACTTAAGGCTTGCTTTTCCTATTTATGAAAGAGTAATACCTCCCCTGCAGGACTGATTTTGGAGATAAGCAGAACACCTGTGGGACACACCTGGTTGAACTGAGTAGAAGCCAGCATCGGTCCCTCTGCTGTCCTTTCTAGCTTCCCCAAGGGACAGGGACAGTGTAGCTGGTCCTCCCTCACCCCATTCTCTCTGCCTTTCCGTGTTCTACGGTGCCTTCCATAAGAACCCTAATAAGAATCCTCACGCTTCATGTACTTCCCACGAGGTGACATCTGCAGGGTGCGTCCCTCTGGTTTTAAGGTCCTCCATTTACAGTATTAGATTTTTTTCCTCTGTCACTTTCCAGTGGGCCGGGCATCCCTGAGCATTCACCTCCTCTCCCCACTCCCGCTTCCCACCCACCACCTCTTTCATAATATTGCTCCAGGAAAATGAATTCACCAGCGAACACGGGCTGATCGCAGCTGAGAGGTTAGGAGAGGGAAAGAGCAGCGAAGAGAGATCAGGGAGCCTAAGCTGAACATGCTGTGAGCCACTTCTAAGAAGAAGAGCAATTTGGCAGGAAAACCAAACAAAAACTCCAGATGAGTCATCCGTCCCAGAACACCGGGCACAGCACTCTGCAGCAAATGCGCTTGCGCGCGAGCGGACAGACGCGTTTTGTCAAATCCGCGAGTCCAGTTCAAGGAGGAGAGAGAAATGTTTGCAGGTAACGGAGCAAATAGCAGCAGATGAAAGAAGCGAAATGAAAGTTTAGCGCTCGGAGAAGAGGCCTCAGACCGCCAGGAAGGCGTCCGGCATCCCGCTGGCCACCTTGGGGCGCCCCCACCCCAATCATCTCCTAGGTGCTCGGCCACGAACTCTCACCCCAGCACACGCGCGACTGAAAAACTCACACTTCGCCAGCAGGGGTCCCCGGGGACTGGCTTTGCTGGGACGCAGAGAGGATTTCCGGGGGTGGGCGTGGCCCCTGGGGGCGGGGCTAAGCAGGGGCGGGGCTGTCCAAGGCAGAACCATCCCGGAGTGGGGCGGGGCGACTCAGAGGGGGCGGAGCCCGGAGGAGGCCCTGACTCCACAGAGGGGGCGTGGCTGAGGGCGTGGCTGTGGAGCGTGGCCTTCGGGCAGCCCCTCTCCTTCCTCCTTTCCCTGGGTGCTCGGCTTCATCCTTTCTGGGAAAGCATCTGTGAAAATTGTCACACTTGGTAAAAAGAGCACATTCCAGGTCTCCAATAAGCCAGATTCAGGGCAAATGATCCCCCTACCACAGTGTAACCCACGGCCGGCCTGCGTGGCGTGGGCTCCCTTCCCTGGTCCCGCGTACAGCGCAGAGAGCCCGTGTACCTGAGGCGAGCGCTGCCCTCTGGTGGTCAGTGCCTGGCAGTGCACCCAGGGAGCCACCGTGAAGACTGGACCGGCCGGGGGCGCAGGAAATCTGAGGAGCCTGTGACGTCACCAAAGCAGACACCTCCCCCCCCCTCCCCACTTCCTAGACTGAGCAAATTAAGCTAATGCTATAGGGTGGCTGCTTCCTTAATTTCTACCCAACGGGTCGGACAATGAAAGTCAAGGAGGAAAGGAAGCTGAAGTGCCGCGAATCTGCCTCTAATTTTAGTTTTATGGTGTCTTTTCATAAGCGTTATTTAAAAGCAACGGTGATTCTCTCGAAATGTCCCCCCTGAATTTTAGCATGCATCTGAGTCCTCGTTCCAAGTTATTCCAGTGCTCACGGCTGGTGAACATATGCGTATTTATTCATATAACCAACCACACGACGCTTTCGGTCAGCCTAGAGTCCTGCTCCAGGCAAGGGACTCTGCAGGCTCGGTCCCTGCGGGGTCCTCCAGCACCACCCGACCCCGTGCCGTGCTTCCTCTCCTCCCCAGTACCCTAACCCCTGGATTTGTTGATTTTCTTTAAGTTTATGGAATGCACATCCCTCCCGCCTATCAAAGTGAAATTTCCTCTAGAAATTTTTTTTGTTATCTTAGTTCAGTCACCATTTTCCTAGGAGTGACTTCCTCATCCTCTACACTGTACCAAACCTTCGCCGTGACTATGAGAAACAGCTTCTTGATTCTTACCCAGGTGTAATTTTATGTTTATCAGTGTAATTATTGGCTTTTTTTTTTTTTTTTTTGAGACAGGTTCTCACTGTGCAGTTCAGGCTGGCCTTGAGCTCCCTTTTGTAGCGCAGGCTGGTCTCGACCTCGCAACGATCCCCCTGCCTCAGCCTCCTGAGTGCTGGGATTACAGGCGTGCGTCACCATGCCCTGCTAATTATTGGCTTCTGTCACCTTCGTTCACCAAACTGTGGTGTCAGCAGTATGATCTGCCTGTGTTTTATTCATTCGTCTTTATTTCTGACACCTCCTTTTATTTTTGACACCTAATTGGCTTAGTTTCTTAAATGCATACACAGATGTGGAATCAATACATATGTGGTGACTGTCCAAAAGATTTCTCTTGAATCAGTGAGAAAATAACTTTGAAAGACTGGCAAATAACCAAATGCATTTAGGTCTTAGAAAGAATGAGCAAGTAGAAACCGGCACGAAGAAGACACTTTGGAAGCGACCTTCAGAACGCTGCAGGTTGGAACTCTAATGCCAGGTCAAGTAACTGGAGTTCTCAGGCTTTGTGCCAGGAAAAGGCTGAGCTTGGGGAATGGAGATAAGAGATAGACTCCAAGAAGTGGGTCAGGAAGCCTCCATGTGGAAAGCCGAGCTTAGCATCTCTTTTATGTGCTGGAGCTCTTAGATTTTAACTAGTCTCTAATTATATCAACCTCACCGCTAAGGGAATGCATTACTTCTGTTCTCAAAAGAAAGCACCTTAAGCACCTACTTCTAGGATCAGAGTGCAGAAGTAGGTGTGGCAACTCCAAGATACACATCGTCTGGGGGCACCAATTACGCAGGATAGGATAGGATAGGGTAGGATAGGATAGGGTAGGATAGGTAAGGATAGCATGGAATGGAATGGAATGGAATGGAATGGAATGGAATGGAATGGAATGGAATGGAATGGATGGAATGGAATGGAACAGAATGGAACACAGGAGTAGCACAGTGGCTCCTGTAAAAGTGACTGAAATGGGTTCTGACTTAGGAGACGCTGCTCGTGTGAAGGTGCAAACCTCAGACCCTTTCTTTTAGGAAAACACATTCTTTAGTGAAAGTCAACCCACTCTCACTGGACACATCTTCTTGGAGGCACTGCGGCAGTCAGAAATGATTCTGTGGCTGAGAAGTGCAGAGAAGCCTACAGATAAGTCTCTCTGTCAGTAAATCTAGACAGGAGAACTCACACGAATGCAATGGTAAGGTCAGGTCTAAAGGACTAAACCAAATATCAGGTCCTTAGGACTAAAATTGGCTGCAAATCAGTTCAAGAAAAAGAAGAAGACACAGTTATTTTTCCTCAAAGGATCAGAAAACTTAAAGAGAAGGTGGCACAAAAATTTAGCTTTGAAAAATATATATGATATTTGTGGGCAGAGGTGAATGGAGGGCATTACAATGTGAGGCTGTACCAATTCCAGCACATGGAGATATGAATATGAAAAGACTTCAGTTGAGAAAAACAAAATGTTCAGTGTCACTGGAGCTTATTAACAGGACTTGTGTCACTCTAGCTCTAAAGAGACATTTCAGCCCCGATGTGAGGGACTTTGGCTGTCCTATTGAGGAGTTTGGAGTACAATTCTGTCTGCGAGCGTTGAAAAAGCACCAGGCATAAACACGGTGGTGCCTCCTCAGCATCGATGCACTGCCCCGTACCTATCACCTATTGTCCTTGGTGACCAAACCTCAGTTTTGGGCTGATAATCCACCTCTCCCTTAAGAGGTCTAGGGGGAAAGACAGCCATTTTCAGTTGCAAGGAGCTCAATCTATCATCTATCTATCTATCTATCTATCTGTCTATCGTCTATCTATCTATCTATCTATCATGTATTTATCCCTGGCACTGCAAAAACTGTTTTTTTCTGTGTTCTACATAATACGTGTGTGCAAATAATATTATACATAGTTGTCTAACACTCACAAGAGACACACAGCAATCAGAACTGCTGTTACTGTCAGTGATACATTAGTTCATTTTGTTAGGGGGGGACCAGCTGCTGCACTAATTCCAGTTTGCCACTGAGCTAAATGGAAGGTTGCTTCGCACCAGTGCTTTCTAACTGTGGGCTAGTGTTAAACACCCCTTGCCTCCTCCTTCAATTATTTATAGTCATGAATCTAATTTAAAGATGGTCCTGCATATTCTCTCTCTGAAGGGGCTTTAAGGAGCTAGAAGTGATTAGCCGCACTCTAACTTAGGAACAGAGAGAGACAAATCTACCTATGTACATTTACTGGCATGGGACACTGGGGAGGTTTGCTAAGTCGCTATTTAAGATGATCCGGGACAGGTGTCCCCAGCTGTTTTAGGAATAAGTACTGTAGTGGCCGTGAGAACGCTGCTCTCAGATTTCCAACTGCAGGCTGCAGAAGCGCCAGGCGACCTCAGCTGGTGTGTTCTGGAATCCTTGGCGCCGTGGCGGTGCTGCCCAAAGCTTTTCCTAGCCAGTGATTAAGTGATGGGGACTGTAAGGCAGGCCCATTCCTGGGAGACACGAGGCTCTTCTGATGGACAAGTTTGGCTCTCAGACCGCCTTCCCCGCTTAGTGGCCTTGAAGAACCTTGCTGAGTCCTGTACTGCAGTGCAAGCCTTTCCTTCCTCCTGTCTCTCTTTCCCAAGGGTTAAGCCCACACTGCAGCCTAATGGTGCACCCAGCCTGCTCTCTCTTTCTCCTTGTCCCTTCATTGGCGTTGCCCTCGGTGCGTCTCTTTCACAGTGATCCCATCTTGACTTCTGCTTCTTGGAGGACCAAGAAAAATACAAGCAGTGCTATAATTATAACTCCCAACATTAGGGTGCTCAAGTGTATTCATTTTTTGTAATTTTATTTTATTTTATATTTTTGGTTTTTCTCCGGTACCGGGAACCGAACTCACGACCTTGCGCTTGCCAGGCAGGCGCTTTGCCGCTGAGCTAAATCCCCAGCCCCTCAAGTGTATTCTTTAAAGCTGTACTAGGAGTCAGGACCACAGTTGTTCACTTGAGAGTTTTCACAAAAGACTCACTCGTTACACATTTCATTTCTTGGTACATTTATGATAATTTTTATTTAAATTAAAGCACACTTTCCAAGGTCAAGTTTCTGTCTTCTCCTTCATGGAAAGCACTAAAGCTACAGTTTGTTACTTCTCTCCTAAATATGCGGTCTTATTTCAGAGTTACAAAAGCTTTTCACATTCCTTTTCAATATAATTGTGAAATTAACTTGGGCCTGAATTTGTTCTGCTTATATCACAAGTGTGTGGAATATATGAGGGAAACCAGTAGTATTCCAGTACCAGAAGGTATCTTGGAACGTATCACACCAACTACCGCTGAAGCTGTCTTCCTCCAGTAAAGAGCAAGGAAGTGAATCTTCTGACATTTCTAAACTCTTTCTCCCATTTCCAGGTCAAATATAAAGTTTGATTTTTGTGCAATAATCTGGGAGCCCAAGGCACTAAGTTAACCTGAGCCCAGATGTTCTTTCTTAGGCTTTGACATATCAGACCATTGGGTAGGCGCACAACATACACAAATTTCCTTTAATTGTACCTATAGAAGAATGATGTAATCTTTTCACACATAATCCCATGAGAGCCACAGATATTGAGACTCCAGAGAGGATAAAGTATGGGTATCAGAGTCCATAGATGGCCAGTAGCTGACAAGAAAAGCCCTACAGAGAAGAATGAGTCAGAGTTCCCAGTTTGTGAGAGCCAGCAGGTTTTATTGCCCAAAAATGTAAATAATTATTGATTTATTCCAAAGTTTATGTCACATCAAGGGCATTCTTCCTCAAGATTGATTTTTTGTTATATATTGAGTTGTGTGATCCAAAGTGCTTTT